GCACGTCACATGGAAAATGTGTGGCTCTGGACGTCATGAAGACAAATAAGGCCAAGTTTAGTGACCACTTTCACATTGTTTCTACGAAGCTCCGAATCCCCGTCTGGCTCTTTTGCTCTCTCTTGCCTCATGTAAGAAGATAGGGATTTTGAGACTTAGAAAGGAAAGAGATTGTAGGGACAAACCCTCCCCAAACTCTTAATTTGAATGTTAATAAGTAGGTTCACCTAAAGAGGTGAACTGACCTTTTCAAACTCCCACAGTAAACTAAAAGCAGATCCAAAAGCAGAAATCAAATTTCTGCTCTACTCTGCGAAGCTCTAGTTTTTCTGAAAGTAAAGAAAATACAACTGGATTATACATACATATATACACATATACACACACACTATATATATTACATATTTTCTATATAGCTATTTATATATACTTATGTAAATAGTGATATATTTTTATAGAGATATAATGTATCTACATAAATAGCTTACTCTCTATTTAGTCAATGTGTGGCTATATGCACACATTTTAAACAATGGAATGATTTCTTTGACTCCGCTTCAGCCTGCCCATGGTCATAAAGAAATTAGAGAAGTGATTTTCCCATCCCTAAGAAGAGGAATTCTCAGGAGAAAGCTTTTATTCTTTTGAGAAGTTGGGGCAGAATTGGCAAGTCATGTATACTTTATATCTCCTGAATCTCTCCAGTAGCCAAAAAGCAGGACCAAAAAAGAACAGAGAAGCCAGAACCATATTCTCATATGTAAGTGAGATCACATCTTATAATTAAATGCCTTTCCAGAATTAGCATTTTTTTGGCCAAGGCCACTCATTGCTGAGCATTCACTTTACTAAGAAACATTTATCCTGCAGCCACCAGGAAAGATGGAAACTGTGAGGACTGCAGAAAAGTTATCCCTCATTAGCTAATTCAGCTCCGTGGTGGGTGTGTAATGCCATGGCAGGGCCATGCACTGGCCTGGGCTCTGTGCGCCCAGCCGTCTCCATGGAAACCCAGCCGCAACAGGAGCGATGGCTCCACAAGGAGATACACCTGCGGCTCTTAAGTCTCAGTGCGTTCGCTTCCTCTCCTCACTTCATTCACATCTTTTTATTAAATGAGTCGATTTGTCACCACTGACTCTCTCAGACAGCAACCTCAGGTTCCATTCTGAGGGAAAAATAAAACTTCCATTTCAAACATTTGCAGAGACTCAGAGTAGAAGAACGCTGCTGCAGATGAAACTGAAGATGTGGCAGCCCTCTCTGAATCGAATGACTTCATTATTCAGGCTGCTCCTTCTCTCTCTCTCTCTCTCTCTCTCTCTCTCTCTCTCTCTCTCTCAAAAAGAAATATATATATATATCAGAAACAGCAAGCCATCTTGACTATTTCTGTCACTGATAGAAGACGTCATTGGATACTTTAGTTGTATGTCTGGGTGTTAGTATGTCTGGGTTTAGTTGTATGAGGGTGCTAAATTTATATTGAGCTCTGGCTTAAAAGTTTATTTAACCTAGAGATTATTTTTCTGCTGGTTTCAAAGCGGTGTCCCAAATGCCTTCTCTTCTATATAGGCTTCTGATACTATGTTCTGAAGAAATAATCAGTCACTGCTTTGACCGGGACTCATCCAGGTGTGAACACCCCATGGTTATTGTATTAGAGTTCTCCAGAGAATATATATATCTGTGTGTGTGTCTGTGTGTGTGTCTGTGTATGTACGTGTGTGTGTGTGTGTATACACCCCCACATATATTTATTATAAGGAACTGGCTCACACAATTATGGAGGCTGAGAAGTCCCACAGTCCACAGTAGGCAACCTGGAGACCCCAGAGAGCCCATGGTTTAGATTCCAGTCTGAAGCTTGGCAGTCCTGAGACGTAGGAAGGGCTAATGTTTTAGTTCAAGTCCAAAAGCAAGAAAAGCCCAGTGTTCCGGCTCAAACAGTTAGGCAGGAGAAGTCTTCTCATACTCAGTTCTTCTGTCCTGTTTGGGTCTCCGGTTGACTGGAAGGGGCCCACTCACGGTGAGGGGCAGGGCACTCGCTTTGCCCCACTCAGCCCACCTATTTGAGTGTTTGTCTCATCCGGAAATGACCTCACAGCCACACCCAGAATAGCGGTTGACCAAATGTCTGGGCGCGCTGTGGCCTCATTAGCTCGAAACGTGAAATTCATCCTCGAAGTTTCTCTCCCTGTCCTTCTTGGGCCCTATTTTGATGTTAATTTCTAAAGTAGCTATTACTAACAGACAGTACTTGATCCATTGCCTCAAATCCTTTATGGAAAGGGACAGCATAGGTAAATAAATAAATTGATATGTATTTAAATTGATAAATAGGGAAAATTGCTGATTCACAATATTTTTAAAATAACTTGTATTGCATGTATTACTTCCCCAGCGAGTCTGCTTATAGGCTCCGTAACCAGAAATTTAAAATACACAGACTAGATATGTATTTTTTGTTTACCAGTGAAGACAGTGTTATTTGCAACTAGTTAGTTATTAAAAGTTTTTAAATATAAATGAAATAATTCGGCCTCTCCCCTACTTGCCAATGTGTGGCAAGAAGCAAGATGAGGTAAATTCATATGACATAAACTCATGGCCGCCCTTTTACACATGGACCTGAACTACTTATTGGTTTTCATAAAAATCTTTACCTGTTACCTGTTACATTCCTATACCTCCCAGACCTACTCTGAGTCAATTCAAACCTGTGGACTCACGGATTTGCAGGAGGAAACCAGTGATTTTTAATCCATATCTTTCCTGCCATCCACTTTCAAAAATGCCACAGCATCAAGCAATAGTCTGAGTCATTTTCTTAGGGAACTAAGTTTGAAAAGGGGCATGAAAGAGGTGATTACTGAAAAAAATCTGAGGAATAGAAAAACAACCCACTGTCAATATGCTAAGGTGAGAAGCCCTTGAATGTCCCATTGAAAAAGCTGCTGTCCTTGGTCTTCCTACTGTTGGCACTGCAGACGCTACTCACGGCCCCTCACATTCATTGGAATCAGCAAATCCCTCTTTGTATCTCATGTACAGCGTGGGGCAGAGGCTGGACTACTGCTTAATGTTGCGAACTACCACAAGCAAATGAACTCATGTCCAGTACAGAGGGTCAGGACAGGTGCATGACCCTTTACTGTTGACTGAGCTCCACGGTGTTGGTTTAAGACCTGACAATGTGTTTTGATGAGGACTGTGATGACAGGTTTGGATTTTAGAGGCATTTGCCCACTTCTCATGGGAAACACTCACATAAACATACCTATTCCATTTTTCTCACACACCGTGTGGTCTGTGTCAGAATCAGAGCAGCAGCTCCTAAATATGAAATTAAACTACCAAAAAAAAAAAAAAAGTGAAGAAGAAAGGAAAGTCGGCATGCATGAAAACAAGCTGAAAAGGTTAAGAGCAAAAGGAAAATCGTAGAACAGTTTCGGTCTGTTTGGAATGAATTAATCAGACTATTAAACAAATCTTTTAATCTAAAGTATCCCTTTCATTTCTGTACCCATAAAACAAAATGATGGAGAGTTGGTGGCCAAGTCTGCCGCTGCTCCCTATTTGTATTGCACAGACTGGAGCTCCGACCTCATTAACATTCCGCTGCAGTGGAGGGCCACACACTCAGGCTGAAAGCGTGCAGTGCAGAGAGTCTGGGCAGTCCTGAGCCCTCGCCCAGCTGGATATACAGCACTGAGAAGTTTCTTCCTCTCTTTTACCTCTCTCTCTCTCCCCCCCCCCCCCTCTCTTTCTGTCTATCTATCATCACTCACAACTTGAAAAATGTAATAAAATCTTTGAAGAGTTTCCCACAACCTTTCTGCAAAAAAGTACTTAAGGCTTTCCATTCCAAGTTGAACACAGTTTCAGGGAATGCAGGGACCCCCAAAAGCCCATCTATGGACTTTAAGATAAAGCATAAGGAAAAAACCAACGTCATTCCCTAATCTCGGCTCATATTATAGAGAAACTGTCTTCACGTCCTTTACTGGGACATACACTGTGGTACATTTCAACTTAAAGACATATACAACTTAAGGCCAGGTGTGGTGACTCATGCCTGTAACCCTAGCACTTTGGGAGGCTGAGGCGGGCAGATCACCTGAGGTCAGGAGTTTGAGGCCAGTCTGGCCAACATGGTGAAACCTCATCTCTATTAAAAATACAAAAATGAGCTGGGAGTGGTGGCAGGTGCCTGTAATCCTAGCTACTCGGGAGGCTGAGGCACGAGAATCACTTGAACCCCGGAGGCGGAAATTGCAGTGAGTCAAGATGGCACCACTGCACTCCAGCGTAGACTACAGAGAAAGACTCCATCTCAAAAAAAAAAAAAAAAAAAAAAAAGAAAAGAAAAAGAAAGAAAGAAAAAAAAAAGGAAATAAATATCACTTCAGTGTAATTCAGTGTTGTTAATTGTATGTCAGAATAAGAAAAAAGGAAGATTCAGTTAAAATTCTCTTATAGTTTTTGTGAAAAGTTACATTGGCAATGAAATATTAGGTCTGGCAGTGGGGAGGCCTAGAGCTAATACTTCTGCGAATTGAGCCTATGACTTTGGACAAATCTTTTAATTTCTATGGGCCTTGATTTTCTCATTTGTGAGATGACTTCATGGAACTGGATGACCTCAAAGGCCCATTTCAGTTTTCATTTCCATATGCTTATTGGCTGGTGGTGTCCTAGAGAGAAAATTACAGTGACAGTAAAATGGGCAAATAAATAAAAGGTACAACAAGAATATAATTACCAGAATGAGACTGCAAAATTCCATAGAAAAGCAAGGGTGTAAAATGCTGCTGAATTTTACTTGCTGTACCAATGTTTCCTCTTTATAAACCAGTAAATGCTGCTATTTTATCTTTACACTAAATTTTATGTTCTTGAGGTCATGATTTGCATTTGACTTTTTTAGTTTTTAATCTTCCATGTCTCTTAGCATCGTACCAACTGCCGTGTAGATGATGAAGAAACATTTTTGGTCAAACAAATGGAGGTGGAAAGTAGAAGGTGGAGGGCGGCTTGCTAGTACGCAGCAGTGTGGGTGGCCTGGGGCCAGTGCAGTGACTGCTGAAAGGCCAATTTGGTAGAGTTTTAGGAAATTGTAAGTTTTTAGGAGCTGTTTGATTGATACCAACCGAGAACACTTGGCAAGCTTAATGGAAAAGGACACTTTATGTAAAGCTGTAATGACACAACATGCCTTCTCTCCCTGGTTTATCTAATCACATCTGCATTTCAGTGTGCTGCTGGCCTGCGGCTTTCCTAAGTTACTGCTGGTCAGCCTTCCAGGAGAACATAAACCTCTCTTCTTTCAGGAAACAAAGGGGATGGTTGGCTCAGGTCTCTCCTGGAATTTACTGCTGCTCATGCCGATCCAGAGATGAGGAATGCCAGATGGAAAGACGAGAGCTTTTTGTCCCTTGAGTAAAAAGAAAAAGAGAGAGAAAAGGTGTATCTCATTATGTGGGAATGAAAGAACTAAGCTAGCTGCAAAGTGGTCTGTGCCTTTAAACATGCGCCTGAAGGTGCAGGTGTGAGACCAGATTCAAACAAGGATTCCGCCATTCCCAATTAGCTCCCAACCTCTCCCTCTCCCTCTCCTTCCTGTCTCCACCTCCTGCCCCACTCTTTCCTCCCCTTTTTGGAATCTAGCAAGATTAAGTGGCCGATTTATCTTTTCGGCGCTGAATTTTAAAGGGAACAGCTAGCTGTGTGATCATATTATTAATATTTATACTCTGTCACAGAATGTTGACAGATTAATTATGCAACATAGTATAAAAATCAGCAGGCAGCGTGGGTGAGCAGAGGCAAAGTTCATATATTAATAACTCCACTGGGTGGCTGGCACCTGCCCCAGGATGACTGTGGGCTCCCTGGAGCTCTATGCCCCAATTCCTCACCAATAAATGACCTGCTGGCTTTATTTCACCCTCCTGACAGTTCAAGGTTTCATTGTTTTAGACATAAAAAAGTAATGTTCATGAAGTTTCCTTGTGCAGTGATCTAACTAGTTCTAACTAGGTATCCTGAGCCAGACACCCAGACACAGACCATCTTAAAGGAAGTGCATGTGACTGACAGAGCTTCTGGGGTGGACACTTGCTGGAATTATCGCAAGTAAGATGGATGGGGCTCTTTTTCTTAGAACACAAATAATCACGGTTGCTGGCGGGTATCTTTGCATGCCATGCTCTGCTAGTTCTTAGAGAGTGCCACACTGTTAAGACAGTGGAGTCCCAGTCCTTAAGGAGCTTATAATTTAGTTGGAGAAGTAAAGTCTCCTTTGGTGATGGTGCATGGAGAAGGGTAGTGTGGGAAGTTTCCCAGCTTTGTAGGTAATGATTACTCTCTCTTGTTACTTTGCCTCTGTGGACCCCAAGTTCTTTTGGTGATGATGGGGTTAATGCAGCGATCCCTCTATCCTTTGATAGAGTGAAGTTCTCCAGGAAACAACAGTGTGATGAGCAACAACTGCTCGCACTGACTTGACATCCAGAGCTGGCTCCATAGCTGTTTGGTCTTGGGCACATTATCTAACTAACTGTTCTAAGCCTGTGTTAGTCCAATCTTATGTCGCTGTAAAGGAATATATGAGGCTGGATAATTTATAAAGAAAAGAGGTTTCATTGGCTTATGGTTCTGCAGGCTGTACAGGAAGTGTGGTGCTGGCATCTGCTTCTGGTGAGGCCTCAGGAAGCTTCCACTCATGGTGGAAAGCAGCATGTCACATGGACTGAGCAGGGGCAAGAGACAGAGAGAGGGAGGTGCTACGCTCTTTGAAAAACCAGATCTTGCATTAACTGAGTAAGAACTCACTTATCACCAGGGGGATAGTACTAAACCATTCACAAGGGATCTGCACCGTAAGCCAATCAGCCCCCATAAAAGGCCCCACCTCCAACACTGGGAATCACATTTCAAGGTGAGATTTGGAGAGGACAGATATCCAAACCATATCACAGTCACAGTCTTAATTTGTGAAATGAAATGATGACACCAGCAGGGTTTGTTATGTTTATGTATACATCAGAAGCATTAGCAGGAAGTTAATAGCTATGCTGTAAAACCATCATAGGTGATGTTCCTGAAAGAAACAGGATGCAGCTGGGCATGGTGACTCAACGCCTATAATCACAGCACTTAGGGAGGCTGAGGCTGGCGGATCACCTGAGGACAGGAGTTCTAGACCAGCCTGGCCAACAAGTGAAACCCCGTCTCTACTAAAAATACAAAAACTAGCCAGGCGTGGTGATACATGCCGGTAGTCCCAGCTACTTGGGAGGCTGAGGTGGGAGAATCACTTGAACCCGGGAGGCAGAGCTTGCAGTGATGAGATCGGGCCACTGCACTCCAGCCTGGGTGACAGAGCAAGACCCTGTCTTAAAAAAAAAAAAAAAAAAAAGGAGGAAACAGGATGCATTGGGGTCCTGTGACAGCCTCTACTGTGCTGAATATTCTCATTTCGTATTTTAATTTATATATCTAAGGAGCAGCATTCTGTGGTTCATGAGTGGCAGGTAGCATTTCTGCCATGAAGTATAGCCAGTGTCCCACTTGGCACCTGTTGATGGAACCTTGGGCTGCATTCTTTGAAAGAGGTCAAGGAGCTCTGCTGTTTTCTAGGAGCCTCTGCAGGATACCCAGGACCATGCACCCAAGGCACTTTAGTGGGTGCTGAGGAGCAGCAACATGAATGGTGAAAGCAGCTTCAGTGGGAGGACATCATTGCGTCACTGGAGGAGACTCCACAGTGGCGCTTGATAGGCGACCTGCTCTGGAGAGGGGTAAGGTTGTCTCAGAGTGCCAGTGAGGCTCAGGTGTCAGATGCCACACGCATGCAGTTTGTCACTGTTCCTCTCAGTGAGTTCGTATGTGTGTGTTTGGTGGTTATTGAAGGAAGAGGAATAGATAATTCTGCAGAGAAGTTCACTTGAACCAATCAGTTATCAGGTCACATAACAAAAAGCTGTTGCAATCACAACACATCAAATCAATTCTGGGAGTGATATACCTTATAATCACGCAATGCAAATAATCAAACCCAATAAGCAAGCAAACCTTCAGTGTCATCAAGCAAAGCTCCAACTACAAGTAGCTCTGATAGCCTTAAATCAGCTCCTTAACTCTTATGCTTCAGTTACCATAGTCATCGATGTGCTTCCCAAACCTAACTGGGTAATTTAGCATCCAGAAAGATGCTGCTCCAGTTAACAATTTATCTTCCCTTAGCAAGTCAGCTGATTAAATTAACCGCTTATTAATATTCCAAGATCATCCATGAGTTAGAAGAAAAAACATCAATTGTAAAATACAAAGGCAACTGCTCTCATACTCATTCTGACGGCAGTCCTTCCTGGATGCTCACCTGTGCCAGGTTGGTGGCACTGAATGAGGGAAAACACGAGAAATACATGATATGGCTTTCACTCTCCAAAGTGAATCCGGTAAATGGTATGTACACAACAAATACAAATACAGTGTGGTCAATGTGATGCTATTTGTATTAATCAATAAGAATGTATTAATCACCTACTGTACGCGCAGCCCTGATGATGACCCCAGTCCTGGAGGCACAGAAAATGGCAGTCGCTGTCTTGATGGGCACAGTCTGCTGGAGACAGGAACATGGTGAGGCCGCGAGGGAGACGGGGAACGATAGCAGGATGTCTAGGAAAGAGGGGAGCCAGTTATTCTAATTTCTGGAAATAAACCTTCAGGGAGCTGAAGTTTTGTGCAACATGCTCGTGCAGCCCGTTTGAGATGGAGATGGTGAATCTTAGCTCCGCGCTGCAAGCACAGAGTGAGAATCACCAAGGGCTTGGGTGTGGACTGGGGCAAAAGAGGAGATGAAGAGGGAGCGAGGCTTGTGTTTTCCAGCACCGTGTCCCACTTCATCATTTGTAACATTGACCATTCTTATTGGTCAGAGCCTGTACAACGAAAAAAACTTTGTACGTTGATGTAGGGTACCTGGGGAAGTAATTTACTGCTTCTAAGCCATTAGAATACGATTTAATGCATTAGCAATAAATTAATAGAGTTAACAAGAAGTGGGAATGATTTCAGGGTGCGGATGAGAACAGCAGGGCAGAATAGACCAGGCTGTGTGTTTTGAACCCATCAGCACTGCATTTGTACGTGTCAGATAACCTTCTAGGAGCCGCCTCATTTAAAATGGACCCGAGTGAAGCTTAACACGTAGAGTACAGTCTGTTCAAAATGAGCCAGACTATAGGTAAAATTTGACAGCATGACACAAGATCTTTCCAGACAGGCTGCATTGTAGGACATAATTTGGGACCAGGAAATTTTTGAAAGTCAAATCCTTGCTATTCTGCTATGACTGCAGACTAGTGGGTGCTAAGTACAGAGCCTTTTCTCTCTTTCTCTTTACAAACTCAATTAAAATGTGCATGCGCAGTAATCTTCCCTTTCAGAGCTCCTGTGGTGATTGATAGAGTTATTTCTAAGTATGTTTAGGCTCAGTGGAATCACTTAACCCATTGTGGGACACGCAGAAATGGGCAAAGAAAGAGAGGCCATGAAAAGTATACAGCCAGAGGAGGCTGCTAATATCCAGAAGAAAGGAGATACAGAAAGATAACTGAGCACATGACATATAGGAATGAGAAGGGATGGAAATGCATCCTCTGTGGATTGTTCATTGTGCCCATTTTCAAAGTGAAGAAACTTCTGGAATATGGGTGAGGCACAGTTTTTGATACAAAGCTCATTGCATGTTTACCAACGTGAAGGTTAATTGGGAGGTAAGAAAATGCCACCATGATGCCGAGACTTTTCTATTGCTGCATTTTGTCGGCCTCACCAGGAACCTGCAGAGACAGAAGAGGTCCTTTGATAGCCACATTTGCAGCCCATGTTGCTCACCGCGATCGGCAGGTTAATGTACCGCTGCCAGCCCTCCAGAGTGAAGCAATCAGACACACGGCTTGATCGAAATAAAATGAAAGGGGGAGTGGGGGAGGGCAGAGCCTGTGGTTGGTATTTCATCTACTGGCAAAGCCCTCCTCAAATCAAACCCTCCATGGAAGGCGGGTATTAGCAGGGCGGCTGAGGGGCACCTGCAATGCAGAGATTAATCCCCTTTTTGTTTTCTTTCGGGTCTATCTCAGCACTGCTGAGTGGAAGGATTTATGTTGGCCTCCTTCCTAGAAGGAAGCTGCAGGCTCAGAAAAGAGGATGTGTCATCAGATGTCACCTCTCAGGGTGCCTCTGTTGCTGTCTGTCTGTCGCTCTGCCCCTCCCTAGGTCTCTGCTCCTCCCTGCCAATCAGTTCTACCTTCCTTTCACTCCTCAGTGTTTTACTTCTGTGACTCAAATTCTTATTTCATACCAAAGCGAGACAACAACAACTCTGTTACCAGGTCCCCTGCTCCTCTCCAATGTGCTCCAGACAGGTATTCGGCGACCAGAGGAGAGCTGAACTGGGCTTTGGTGACACTCTGCCTCTGCGTCCGTGGCGCTTGCTGGGCCATGCAGATGTCTTCTGCAAGTGAGCTAAGGCGGTGGAAAACGTCCCTCGGGGGCCATTGGAGATGTAGCTCACAGTGGCCTTCAACACTTTTATTTAAGCCGTGGAGTCATTTTCTGGAAAATAAAGTATCATTGACAACCTCGCTATGTGAAATGGATAGAGGTGGATGTGCTCTTATTGTAAAGGGGTGGGAAGAGCATAGAGGAGGCCTGAGGTTAGCCCATTGAGCCCTCCACCTCCCAGGACCCTGGGGCCACTGAGCACAGGCCCTTGTGCAGCCCTGCTCCTGGACCACTGTGACTGTGACGTCCTGGGGGACTAAGTACCCTCCTTCCATTCACACAAAGGTTCCCTGCAGGCTAGCAAAGGCTATGGCCAGTCCCTGGAAGGCATGCTGTTTCCACCAGGATCCTGAAATCCCAGGTTCTCAAACAGGGTCCTACAGTTTCATCAAGGAGCCACACACTTTCCCAGTGTATATGTGACTATTCGTCACCAGCGTGTGCACGGGACCATTTTGGTGTGTGATTTTTATTTGCACTTCCCAGGGTGCTTATGATTAGGATGAAATTTTAGAAATGAGAGCTTTGGTAGCAAGGTCCCTTACCATTCCAGAGAAGGATTTTGGCAAAAAATCGTAGTTGCTAGTTATTTACTCTTCCTCTTTTTGCTAGATCAGGTGGCAGAAAAGGTGAGTTATTGTCTTACTGTCTTATCTTCCCCAGTATTTCATTTCCCAGCACTGCAGACAGTGGAGGCGTTTTGGACCTAAGAACCAGTGTTTCAGAAGATGGCATTTACCCTACAATGGCTGTGCCCAAGGTAAACGCTGGGCTTTGGGCTACATGGCCCCAATCCAGAGAACAGAGGGACTATTCCTGGCTCCTTCCTGAGCTGCTCTGACATCCTGCCTAACTGAGCGCAGTTATGCTCCATTTACAAGAAGAGGCAGCGTTAGCTCCTAGCTCATGTGGTGTTAAATAGAGGTGAGATGTAACCCTTTTTTTTTCTAACAGCACAAAACTCCTTCCTGAAGAGTCACCTTGAAGAGAGATGGTTTCTTGTGGAGAACTGCAGTCTGGGCAGTTAAGTCAGAGAACTCTGAGCTTATATGCTGTGCGTTTTCATTGACTGACTCTGTGGCTTTTTGGAGAATTACATTTCCTCTCTGTTATTGTTAATTGATGAAGTCTCACAACTTCACTAGGGAATAAACTTATGCTGACAAGTGCTGTGTGGGTGAACCGCCATGCAGACTCCCTCAGATACAAATGAGTGTGGTGGGAGCCCCCTGGGGGCTCTCAGGAGCCTAAACATAACAAAGAAACAACGATAATAGGATTAATTGCTTGTCTTGCATTCTCACCTATTCGTTTTTGTGCCTTCAGAGTCCATAGTAAGTCACTGGTCTATTTAACTGCATTTCCTCTGCTGAATAATCGGCTAATTGATTTATTACAGGCGTGGCCTTTCTGCTTTCTATTCCTTAGCATCCTGCAGTGAGCTTTGTTACTTTCTTGGCCCTGTTTATTGCATCCCCATCGTGCAAGAAACGGGAAATTTGGCAGTAAGCAGATGGGAAAAAATGCATTGTATAGATATCAAAGCATAGTGGTTAAATGTTGTTCTCTTCTGAGGTGGATGGCTCCCAAGACCCTGGTGCTTTTTGAAATATGCTCTAACTAACCTATT